GGCAGCCGAGGGAGGAGCGGCAGGCGCCGCCCGATGGCTAGAGGATGTGACCCCCCGCCCTGGAGGCCCCGGATCCAGGATTTGAACTTGGAACGCTAGGGCTCTGCGTGGGGAGTGGAGGTCGCCGCACAGCGGGAGTTGGTGCGTTCGCCCCCTGCCCGCCACCCTTTTCATGCAAAAGCGCCTGCGTGCACCAGGCACCCTGGACTCCCGAAGGCTCCAGCCTGGGGCCTCTTGTGCCTGCAGGCAGCCTTGCATCTCCCATTCCCCGGGAGCCCACTGGTGGTGGTGGTGGAGAGAAGGCTCCAGGACTGGAGTTTGAACCTCCCATCTCGTCCTCCCAGATTCCAGTCCCCAGGGCCGCTGTCAGAGAGTACTGCCATCCCCTCCCCTCCCGCACCCCCGCACCTCTGCCATACAGGACAACTCCTGGGAGCTGGTAGTCCTCGGGCTGAGTGGTTACAGCCCTCCTCGCACCCCTCCTGCGCAGGCTACCTGGGTTTTCTCTTTCCAGCCTTGCACTGGGGATCGCAATGCAGTCAAACTGGATCCCAAGTCCAGGCTAGAGGTGAAGGCCGCCGCCGCGGGCCCCGGGCAACATCCCTGCTTCCCTCTGAGCCGCCCTGGAGGCAGGGTCCGCCTCGTTTCCTCACCACTCACAGTCTTGATTATTTCAGGGGAAAAAAAAGTAAGCCCCTCTTGCAACCTAAGACACGCAGGACCGGCAGGAAACTAGCATGAGTGAGGGCCCAGTGAGCTGGAAACGACAGAAATGTTCTAATCCTCACGCCAGCTGCCCTTAAGGAGGCAGACATGATAGCATTTTTGCAAATGAGGAAACTGGAGCTCCCAGAAGTCAGAATATACTCTGGCTCGCACTGCAAGTCCTTAGCAGAGCTGGATTCAAAAGCAGATCATACGTGTGGGGAAAATAGCCCAGAATTAAACCTGCATACATACATACATACACAAGCACACACGTACACACACAGGAGAGCATGTGAAACCCGGGGAATCTAAATAAAGCCCTCGGATTGTATTCATGACATTTTCCTGTCTGTGATATTGTATTACAGTTGCCCAAATTGTTACCAATGGGAAAAATTGGCTGAAACAGTTAAGAGATTTATTCTTTCTTACATCACGGATGTATCTCAGTTACCTCAAAAGTTAAAATCACATAGAAGCTGGACTCAGGTAGCTCACACCTGTTATCCTAGCTACTCAGGAGGCTGAGATCTGAGGATTGTGGTTTGAAGCCAGCTTGGGCAAGAAAGTCCATGTGACTATTTCTAACTACCAAAAAGCTAGAAGTGGAGGTGACTCAAGTGGTAAAGCACTAGTCTTGAGGGGACTAAGGGACAGCACCCAGGCCCTGAGATCAAGCACTAGTACTGTTACATGTATGGGTGAGGAAAAGTAAGCAATAATTATATTCCATGTACATTATGTAAAAACTGAACTAAATAACTTGAGAGAAGGGATGAGGGGAAAGGGAGAAAATGATGGAAGGGGTGATTTGATCAAGATATATTGTACTCATAGTGTGGCTTATGAAATTGTGACACCTTTGTACAATTAATAAAATAACATATAGTGTGTCAGTTGTCTTAGTTTGGGGAAGTACTAGGATTTGAGATCAGGCCTTTACTTGCTAAAAACAGGCACTCTACCACTTGATCCAGTCCCCCAACCAAATGTTAGTTATTTTAAAACCCAAACTCCTGACACACCCATTCTTATTGTGTGCCTAGAGAATAAGAAAGAGCAAGTTGTTCATGCATCTTGCTCCTTTGAGTAAGCACACACTCATATACTGTAAGCATGGTTATTCAGTTATACATCACAACACACACACACACACACACACACACACACACACACACACTATTCATTAGTCTGGTACCAGAATACTTACATAGACGTCGTAAATGAAGGAATAAAGCTTATTGAATATTCAAAGAGCCAACAGTCTTCAAAGGCAATAGTGAAGAGGTGGCTTTGTGCTTTTGCCTAAGCTCTGCCATGGCAGCCCAGTCCTACTGGTTATCTCTCCAAGCACCCCTTTTTAACCTGCAAGAATCCTTGAGGATGAGATAGCCCATTCATGTAAAGCAGAGATTCTTGGGGCCTGGAGATACTAGAAGTAGCAGCTGCTCTCTGTGGAGAAAGATCAGAACTGCTGGGTGTTGTGCAGTTAGAAAAACACACCAGGCAGGCTTTCTTGAGAGGAATGGATGGGGTGGAGCTAGTGCTGGGGTGGGAGCTGGGATGCTCTGAGCCCAGCTACATGGGAGGAAGAAGCATGGCTCCTGATGCTGCCAGGTGTGGGTGGGGGAAAGCAAGCCTCCCCAGACAGATCCTTTCCTTAACACCATGTGCCTGTGATGTTCAGTCCTGACTACAGTCACTGGAAAAAAGCAGGGCTTTCCATTAGACCCCAGCATTTGAGCTTTTCTCTACTAAACACACACACACACACACAGAGAGAGAGAGAGAGAGAAATGGCAGTCAAGCTTCAATTCTACATTACATGTAATATAAGGAAAAATAAGAAGCATAAAGTATGCAAACCAAATTTTATTGTTCCTTGTAGCAATTTATCTGTTTCTGATCAAAGAGTCTTATTAAGGAAACCCTGGTTCTTACCCATATTTGCACATCCGATTTTTGAGTGTTTTTGTCTACACCTCCCAGTACTGCACTGGCTTTCTTGGATGATTAAAGCTTTTTAAAAGTTAACTGAAGAATAAGCCAGGGAAGCCAAGCACTTGGGAGGTTGAAGCAGAAGGTTTATAAATGCATGACCAGACTGGATTAGAGTGACTTCTAGGCCAGCCTGGACTAGGTCAGAGCCTGTCTCAAAAAAAAAAAATCAGAATTGGGACAATAAAAATGAATTGGAGATGGAAGGAGAAAAGGAGGGGAGGGAAGAGAGGAGATGAAATCTAAAAGTTATCATTTTTTCCTTTTTGTGCCAGTACAAGGTTTGAACTCAGAGCCTGAATAGTCTCTCTTAGTCTTTTCCTTGAAGGCATACACCACTTGAGCCACAACTCTACCTCCAGCCTTTTGGTGGTTAATTAGACATAACGGTTTCACAAAGATGGGCACCAGTGGCTCACGCCTGTAATCCTAGCTACTCAGGAGGCTGAGATCGGAGGGATCACAGTTCAAAGCCAGCCCAGGCAGGAAAGTCCGTGAGACTCTTATCTCCAATAAAACCACCAGAAAACCAGAAGTGGTGCTGTGGCTCAAGTGGTAGAACACTAGCTTTGAGCTGAAGAGCTGAAGGACAGTGCCTAGGCCCAGAGTTCAAGCCCCATGACTGACCAAAAAAAAAAAATTTAAAAGAGAGTTTCACAGACTTTCCTTCCTGGGCTGACTTTGAACTGAGATCCTCAGATCTGTCTCTTGAGTAGGTAGAAATATAGACAGGAACCCTCAGTGCCTGGCTTCAGAGTTATCTTTTGTTTCTAATCAAGGAAAGGCTACAGCTCTAACCAAACTCAACCCGCTCTCTCCTAAGTTTAGTTGGTTATGTTATTATTTACAGAATAGCCAGAAAGTTTTGTTTCTCTGGTTGGCAACTATCAGTGCTTTCTAAACTTCTTTTTTT